GCGATAGTTTGGTCGAAGCTTGATAAGAGTTCTCTGATTTTGATGGTTTTAACTGATAAGCTCTTGCTTCTGTTGGCATCGTCGTAGAAGTTTGAAGTTTTGAGGGTTGCAGAAGAGTGTTGTTTGTATCAGTCAACAGTTTTGTCTGATGAGAAGTATTAGTAGGCAATTCCATGGATGATCTGGTTTTTGGCGTTAATTTATATTTATTATTTTGTTGGGAATACTTATCTGATGGTAATTTCAACATGTACGGTAGTTCAAAAGAGCGATAAGAAAAATCTGCATAGAGAAGACGTATATTGGGATTATATTTCAATTCTTCGATCGTACCATGCCGTAAGTGATCTAACTGGCTTGGATTAGTTTCATTCAGAGAATCATTAGAACACAGAACACAATCTGCTTCATAATTCGGCACCAGCTTACGTTCAATAGTCCTCTCATTGTCAACTGAGTCTATACCGTAGTCCACGACGTTTAGATATTGAAATTTTAGTCTGTCTAAATCACTGATGAAATTTCCTTTCTGTTGCAGATTCTTAATATTTTGTTTAAGATCATGAATCATATGTTGGAGTTGCATTTTCTGATCACTTTCAAGCGTTTGTTCGACTATTGAAACTGAAGTTCGACCACTGCGCACATCAATAACTAATTTAGACAGGCGATCGATCTCGTTTGTACACATCTTGTTGACAACAAACCATTGTTGTTGCAAATTAGATAATCGATCTTTCAAATATCTATTCAACAGTTTCAGTAGACCCTCTTTAATACATTTTTCTAATTTTAGTATATCATCTCTTAACTGAAGCACATACTGTTCGATATTGTTATTTAGATGTTCAGGTAGAGAAATAAATTCAACATCTGTTACAGTGTAGAGAGGATATAGCCATTTAATAGGTCGAAGTATATAAGATACGATATAGTTGATAGTTTTATTTTGGGCTTGTTTCAGCAATCGGCAAACATCATAAAGTCGATTGATATCTCGTAAATCATGTGTATTAGAGTAGATTTTTGTGTGAATACTGTTTGTTAATAGATTTTCTTCCTGTTGAGTTAAGTTAGGAATTTTATCATCATTAAGTAAGAATGTACGAAGTCGCTGAAGAACATTATCAATTTCTACGATTCGTTGAGCATCGGATGTTAATTGCAAAACTGCAATAATTTCAATTCCTGTTTTAATTCCAGTGATGACATGAGTTGTATCAGTTGGAGGCTTAGTTGGTTTATCCGAATATGCGATCTTTATTGGATTATCTGCAACTTTTTCTTCTCGATTCAAATAAGAATAATAGAAGAAGCGAGTATATTCATTTATGGGATTAGAGTAATTAAGGATTTCAGCTAAGCCTGTTTTCCCTCTTAAATTCAATGATAAACTCAATCTCAGTTCATTTTCTACACCAATTGCCTTTAAAATATTTTCTTTTTGATATCTATTTCCATTTATAATCATGCATTTTTTTGATTTGAACTCTTGGCACTGTTTGCCTTTCATGCTGAAGTTTATTGGTCCGAATATGAGATCCTTGTATGCATCATATAGTGAGCCAATGCATCCAGAAGAGTCAATAGCCGTACGATTCGTAACAGGTAATGATCTTTCATCTGAATTATATCTATTCCCTGGTAATATGCAAGAAGTATATGATGAGTTCGGAGGTGAAGCAGCTGGATTTGAATTTGTTGAGCAGAAAACAATTGTTGGCGTAGGCGAATCAGCTTTTGGAATTGGAATGAGGTGAAATGGAGGTTGAATTTCTTCGATTTGAATTATGTGAAGACCATTTCCTCCATCAAAAGACGAAATAACTTGGAATTGTCGAGCAGGATATAATAAAAATTCATTTTCGGACGCATAAGATGAATGCTGACTAATATTTTTAGCTGAATCGCAAATGATATTAAAAACAGTTCTGTTTCCAGTTTTACCCAGATAACTGTTGAGAACATCGAGCGATGATGTACAAGATGTAAATGACCACCAAATAAATTTCTTTCCCACTGGAAATTCTTCTCTCATATCCTTTTCGACTCCTCGATAAATAACCCGCGGCACAATCGATGGCAGTTTTGACAGAGCAAAAATAAATAGTCGAAGATATAGAAACCACGGTATTAGTTCGCGCCGATTTTGAGAACGAAGTGTTGAGTTAAGAATGTAATAGAAAGATGTTTCTTTAGGTGCCCATTCTAATGTATATAGCATAATCGAAGCTGACTCATCTTTCGTCAACATATCTTTTGGTTCATGATAACTTTCCATTACTGTCCAAACCATATGATCAAGTTGCGGTACAATCGACTTCAGTGATTCAACAGATTTTTCAAGTGAAACCAGAGGCATTTTTTCAAATCCTTGAATAGGTGGAAGAATTTGGTTTGACTCTGGTGGAAAATCACAAATACGAACACTTGATCCAGTAGCATTGCTAGAACTCATAGCTATTTTTCGACAATAATATCAAAATTTGTACTTTATAGATCTCCAAGGATTGAATTGAAAAAAATTAACAGCGAAAAGGAAAGAAGTGGTGATATTCGTCGTCCTAGAAAACGATCATTAAGCAGTGACTATTTCCAGAAATTATAACTAAAGTACACAGATAGACCATTTTTTCACATTTATTAGAAGTTTAAAAAAGTGCTCAATATTTCAAAAAAAAGAATACTAAGATAATCTTATACTTTAATTGGCGAAGAAATGAATCATGAGTTGGAAACATCCCTGTTTTTTTCAATTGATATGACTGATTTAATGAATAATATCATGTACACCTACAAGTTATGATATCTAAGTTTCACAATCACCGATCATGAGACAACTCAGCCAACTATGAGATGCATTAGTGAAAATACAGAGAGCCTTCGTTCAAGCAAGCTATAGTTGTTTGAAACTTTTTCGACTCCTGATATTATCTGTGAACACCCTTTTCTAATGTACATCGGGATAAAAATAAAGTTGCTCGTCATTTATTTTGATAAACTACAATATGCCTACTAAATTTGACTTACTGTTAAGCTCAATTAATTTTACTTGATTTTATAGCTGATTTACACTAAAGAGGCGAAACAGCTATTGTAACGCTTTTCGTCAAAATGCAACTTTTTTACTTTTTTTTAATACAGTATGTCGTAAAATGATACGTGTATGCTTCCAAAGTAATATTGGAACTAACTGGTATTCGTATAACAACCTGTTGAAAATTTAAAAACAAATCTCTTAATTATCATTATTTCCCTTTTACATCACAGTAGAATATATTTGCTGTTAAGAAAAGTAAGATTACAGGCTGTTTTAAAAGTTCAAATATAATTACGGGTGTGAAGCTTTGATAAAAACTGTTTACTCATTTTCTATAGATACTGTTCCATAAACCTCATTCATCGTGAGTTACGGTGTTTCGCTTCCGTATTAACTTCATGCATCTCATTTTACAATCAACAAAAACATCGATTGTAAGCTTTTCGTTGTTGACAAAACAATTGTGAAATCGTTATGAACTTTTCGATATTATCGATTCAAAATATTTCATAATAATTTTGTTATCAAACGATGCCCAAAATCAGGAATTGAAAAACTCAATCAAACTTCCTAATATATGTTTATAATAATCCACATGTAAAAAACAACTTACTCAACTGAATGGATTTTCAAATGTCTTCAGAATCAAAGCTTCACCTGTAGGCGCTTCATTTGCGTTGCTTTCCTGCACACCACGCGACTCTACTATTCGAATGACGTGGAAGGTTTCTACATTTTGTTAAGAATGAGCTGTTGTGAGAATTTTCAGCTAAGTTGTTATACCAATAAAAAAATTGCTTTAGTTTAATTTTCTATAAAAATTGAGAAAACTATTGAACATTGAGAAATTAACCGATTACGATAGTGTTCGAAGCGACTATACTATGGAGACTCGACGACATCTACAGATATTGATAGAGATCTGTAGGCATTTCTACATTTTTCCAGCATTCGTGCTAAATTGATTTGTTCTCTGTAAAATGTATTTTACAACTAGATATCGAGATAGTCCGCCTGATTGTGAAGCTTCCGATGTGCGCTTAATTTTGTAGACTTAATTTTTATTAAGATTCTATCGATGACATATATACTCGAAATATGACAACTGGCACAATTTCTCGACGAGAGAACCACATGAAATATTTGTAATCGTTTTATGTTATTCAATCGGTTTCTCATAACTTTAAATTGATTTCAAAGCAATATCCACTTTGCATCTGATGTAAACTGCACGATTTGCCAAAATAAAAATTACCATCATCTCTACTAAATCGATTGATTAAAGTTATCTGCAAAATCTATGAACGAAACTTTTCCTAACAATATTTATTCATACATGTCAATCTCATTACTTCTCGTATTCTAATTAAAAATAATTCTTTAGAGTTTATAAATTATAATGGTAGCATTATTTAAAAAAATTTGCTAACGTTTCAAAAATAGCCAAGTATTCGATTTTTACGACGAACCGTCAGAAATATCAACATATTTCCTTGATGTTCTCGAGACTTCACATTCATACAACTTCATCATTTTTCTTTGTCCTTCATTGATAGCAACCAATTGTTCATGCATCATTGGATACTTACGAACTGTATTAATCAAGTCATAGATATCTGCCAGTGACTTGTGTGTTCCCTTACGCTCCATTTCATTCGAATGTTGATCATATTCTTTTTGCTGCGTTCTCAAATCCGCAACCAATTTCGTGTTCAAATCGTTTGGTTCGTAACTATTGCAGAAATGAGTTTCTTCGCTTATCAGTTGTATCAAGCCAACGAAAAATGGATCATGATTCGAAAGATCAGTTGAATGCTTAAGAAAATGAGAAAACTGCGCACAGGCACGACAAAGTCGAACAAGTAGATGACTTATTGCGTCTCGATCCTGTTTTGGCGAATTCTTCACAAGTTTATGATTAAGCATGTAATGGATTGGACTGTGTTGATCAGGAGAACATTCACATATGCAACGATTATTTTCAATTTTATGTGGAATAGTTTTTGCAACCCAAAACCGCCCCACTAGGCATGCATAAGGAACGCATAGCATGCAACTAGTAGATGGATAAGAGATAACTTTTGGATCTAACTCTAATCTAGTATTTACTGACTCTTTCGAACAAAGAATAAGATTGCGCAGAGAGTTCCGCATTGTTTCTAATATTGGACGAACCATACCAAGAATTGTAAATTGAGCACGTTTCATCGATTGTAGGTTATTATCTATAGGATAAACAGTAATGTCTTTACGAATATATTCAATGAGACGTTTCGATTCCGATACTGAAGTTTTCCAACTTCTTTCATATTCTTCTTTTTCATTATTATCGAACCGAATCTTATTTTGTCGAGCAATCAAATAACGAAATGATTCACTATCGAAACAGAAGACATTCTTCTTTGAGAAGGGAACATTACCGATCGATAGAGTAGTAAGCACTGTTTTAATTAATGGCGCAGTATCACCAGGAGTGTAAAATGTCGACCGAGCACTGGTGAAACAGAAGATTATGTTGTTGAGCGCATTTGTATCAAACAGAGAGAATAATTGAGTAAGATATGATTGAAAGGAGATATGCAATCTTGCTGAATTTGGTTTCAGAAGAAAACATATACCATTCAAATGAGTAAGATTATTGATGTATTCTAAAATATGTTGCATATTCTTATGATCTTGTTCAATGCCTCGCGTATCACCAAAACCAGGTGTATCAATAATGCGTAACTTTGTTTGGTCAGTATCATTGAGATGGAAAACATAGGATTTGCACCGTTGAGTTACTGATTGTCCCGGATGAGAAAAATCTTCGTTACTTGAATCATCTGAATCACCAAATTTTACAATATGTTCTTCGAAATGATCACCGGTGGTGATCATAAATGAAACAGGCATGAGAACAACCGGTTGACTTGTTTCGGCTTCGTCGAGCGTCTCGAATATAAGATAATTGGCAAGAGCATTGATGAATGTCGATTTACCAACACCTGTTTCTCCAAGTAGAAGAATATTGATGGTATCAGAAGTCGATGATGAATTCCCTCGCTTCTTGGATCTTTTCTGGCCTTCAGAGTGGTCCTGTGATGATAGTATCGTGATATCCTTGAGTGGAAAAGAGCAGTAGGAAAAATCAGCATATATAAGATGCGATGCTGGATTTTTTCTATCTTGTTCGACTAGATCATGATGGAGTCGATTGAATTTTTTTGCATTATTTTTTCTTAGACAGTCGCTAGCACAGAGAATTCGATTGGATGGATCATTTAAATTTAGTTTTTCTTTGATAGTAAGCTCAGAATCTGTTTGAAGTATGCCGAATTTGCCGACATCGTAATATTGAAATTTTTGTTTTATTAAATCAGCGATCCATTGTTCTTTGTGTTCTAGATCACGCAAATCTTCGACTATGCTTTTGACTTTATTGTTATAAATAGTTTGCATTTTTTTTTTAGAAATTATTTCGTCAACTCTAGAAGTGTCTGAGCGGCCACTACGAATATCATTAACTAAAACTTTTAATAGTTGGACATCATGTTCATATAAATTCTTTAAATTCAACCATCGTCGCTGTAGTTCATAGAATGGTTCTTCCAAGCCCACACTCAAGATTCGTGTCTCTTTTGAATCCAATGATTGTTTCCAACGTTTAAGTATGTCTAGGTATTTTAATAAATATTCTTCAATTTTTCTATGACAACTTGACTCAATTGGGATAGACGGGAAATTGGTGTGTGCATATTCAGGATCTAATGACTGAATTGGATTCAGATAATACATCAACGGTTGAAATATTTCAGCGTTTTCATGGCGTCTATTGATAAATTGACAAACATCACCCAACGAAGTCACACCGGTCAGATCAGATATATTCGAATAGGCAATGATGCTAGTGTTTTGTTGCATTAAGTTTTCATCATTTGAAGTTATAGGTGCTGCCTTGTGAATTCCCTTCAAAATACGTACACATTTTTTAAGCACTGCATCCACTTGTGCGACTATCTGATCATTAGGTACTAATTGTATAATAAGAGTAACACTGATTCCCGAACTAAAACTAGTAATAATGTGAGTAGCATCGGTGTGACGATCCTTTGGTTGACTCAGTTTTCGAAATGCTGCTGCATCTTTCGGAAGCGTTTTTCTATTTGTATAAGAATAATAAATGAGACGAGTGTATTCGTTCATTGGATATGGGTGGTTGATTATTGAGGCCAATCTATTTCGTGGAACAAAGTTCAATAAGGTATTTAGACGTGCATTTTCTCGCATTCCTATCAATGCAAGAAGATTTTGACTCTTTTTCCTACGACCATCTATAAGATCACATTTGACTGGGTCTTCTATTTGTATAGTGTCTCCTAGACTATTCCTACTCGATGTTGGAACTATAGAATCAGAATATTGATTATAAAGTGAGCCGAGACCTCCAGAAGTGTCAATAGCCACACGTTCGATGGAAGGTAATGAAGAATGCATTTGGTGCATCGCAAAGTCATTAGTCGTCATAAGTGTTAACAGCCGATATTATATCTTTAATCGATATCTAGAATATAGATGCATTTATTTTTGATTGGAAACGAATGTTCATCGTAGAAATATGTCGAATAAATAAAAGCTACACTACTTCGGCAAATAACTCGTGTGTATTCATATCTATTACGTAATTTGTTTTACAGTGAATATTATGAATAAAATAATCGTTTTTTTTAAGAAATTACTAAAAACAGGAACAATTCGACCGAAGATGTTGCGAATATGTGATATTCGACAAGAATTTAAAGGGAGACATTGTGGTCAAAGATATGCATGCATATCTATACCTCGTCTGTATCTCTTGTTCCGAATATTTGTACTATACTTCAAAATGAAAAATCTATAAAAACGCGGTACTTCGCCTAGCATGATATATTTACTTCCTACCTTGGCAAGAGTTAGTAAAGGTTTTTGTTTAATTCGACAATTTCAGCATTTCTTTGCTTTACTGCAACTGATATCACGTCAGCAATACAGACTGCGCTCTTATATTCTTATAGGTGAAAGACAAATAAGACACGAGTTAAAAAAGGCCTTCTAAATTTTAGACGAACCAAAAAGCATCTTATTACGAAAGATTTATTACAAGCACATGAATGTTATCAGTATTTGAAAAGAAAATGAAAAAAGAAAATTTTGAATTTATTAATAATAGACGATTATAAGTCAGAAGAGAGAGTCGTCCGAACATGTGAAGTGAATGTGTCGCCGAAGAATGAGCGAATCTAATACTTGCATAATATCATCTATGAAACATATAAGATCTATTTTTTAACATGAAACAAATACGTAAATCAATTACATAGATTTTTATCATGTTTAACGAACACATAGATATCCAAAACTATTCTTTTCAATTCAATTGAGCTGAGAAGACAAAGAAACTGATAGATCATAAGAGTAAAGTTTATTTAAATAAATATTTCGTTTTCACTTCGATTTACTTATATGGCACGTTATTTTCATTGATCTCGCCTTCGAGAAGCATCGAAGTTGTCACAGATATATCGAATAAGACGATTTGTTTGACTAACGGAATGGATCCAACTATTTTCATACTCTTGTTTGTCTAAATGATCGAATGAAATTCTATTTTGTAGGGCAACCAAATAACGAAATGATTCACTATCAAAACAGAATGCGTTGTCTTTTTTGAATGGAATATTAGCAAGTGAGACTTGTGTGAGCATCTTTTTAATCAACGGTGCTGTATCACCAGGAGAATACAATGTCGATCGAGAGTTGGTAAAACAAAAAATAATATTATTAACTGATGTTGTATGTAAAATAGAGAGCAATTGAGTAAAACATGATCGATAGAAGATACTGAGCCTAGCATCATTCGGCTTGAAAAGGATACATGTGAAATCTACACCATGAATATCTTTGATATAATCTAAGATATGTTGCATATTATGATCATCTTGTTCCATACCTCTTGTATCACAAAAACCAGGTGTATCAATGATACACAACTTCTTTCCGTCACTATGATTAAGATCAAATGTATACGATTTACAGTGTTGCGTTACAGATTGACCAGCACGATGAAAATCTTCATTGTGTGAATCATTCATATCACCAAATTGAATAACATGTTCGGTGAAATCATTACCAGTGGTGATCATAAATGAAACCGGCATAAGTACAACTGGTTGACTTGACTCGGCCAGTGCAAGAGTACTGTATTTATGATAATTGGCAAAAGCATTGATGAAAGTTGATTTGCCAACTCCAGTTTCACCCAAAAGAAGAATTCTAATAGTTTCACCAGTGGGCGCCGATGGTGCCACTGGAGGTGTATTAGATACCGCTTCAGCGACAGGATCTTCAATCGACTTCTCAGGTATATCCGATGGTGCAAAAACTGTTTCTATCGATGGAGACGAAGCGTGTTCGATTTTGTCTTCATTCATCCTCGTTGAAGGTGACAAAACAGCCATAGTAGATACACGAAAAGAACAATAAGAAAAATCTGCATAGATGAGACATAAACCAGGGTTTGTGTTGGCTTCTTCTATTAATCCAGATATTAACTTTTGAAATTCATTTGAGTTATTGTGGTTTAGCAGATCGCTGGAGCAGAAAATTCGATAATTTTGCTTATCTCCAACCAATTTCTTTACAATGGCTATTTCACCATCGTGTTCATTTATTTTGTAAGCAGATGCATCCAAATATTCGATGTTCTTTTGCTTTAAATATTGGATAAAATTTTCTTTTTGCTCGAATTGCATTATATTCTGCTTTAAATGATTAATACTAACTTCCGCCGTTTTTCGTGCATCGCTGCCAAGTAATTCTTGTAACCTACTACAGTCAGTTTGACCACAACGAATCGCGATCACTAAATTGGAAATTTGTTTGAATTCATTTCTTAATATGTTTTTCAAATCAGACCGCTGGGCTTTAATATTAGTCAGTTGCACTTTCAAATGTTCGGATAATAAGTTGCTTCCATCATTTGTGCCAAATTTTTCTAATTGTCTCATATCAGTAACTCGTTGAAGCACATAATCTTCAATATTTTCACTAAGTTCTCTTGGTAGAAGAGTGAATTTTGAACACTTAATGGGTCGAAGAGTATACGTTATTGGGCGGATGCTAGTTTTGCTTCGGAGGATATGGTGACTAACATCAAGAATTGAGGTTAGATTTTTTAATTCATCAACATTGGTGTAAACTGTCGTTTGAACAATGTTTTTTGCAAGAATTTCTTCATCTTCACTTGATAAAGAAATATTCCCATCATGTAGTAAACATTCAAGAAGTTCGTTGAGTATACGATCAGTCGCGGTCTCTGCATCTTTATTAGATCGCAGCTGCATAACTGCAACTAAATCGATTCCCGACTCAATATGGGTTATAACATGTGTTGCTGCAGAGAAAGATATCGGTTGTTCGTTATACTCGGCCATTTCTGCGATTTTGTGTACATGATTTGCACACGAATAACAGAAGAATCGAGTACATTCATCGTATTGATGGGGATAAGTAATTAGTGAAGCCCTACCTGTACGTGATGTTAATCCTAATACAATACTCAATCTTGTATGGTCGTCTTGAAAAACGAATCGTAAAATATTCTGCGGTTGTTCATCGTAGCCACATTTAATTTCTCCTTGAACTGTTACATCTGTTTGTACTGGCAGTTCTCTGCAATTTTCAATCGACTGTTCGAGTACACGATCTTGGCACGCATCATAAAAGGACCCAATTTGACCACTGAAATCAATGGCTGTGCGTTTCAGATCAATACTCGAAACATCGTAGGAGATTGCTTCTGTTTCCATGGGCGAAGTAAACATAAAAACGATCGCAAATCAACTAAAATTAATAAGAAAATAGCATATAAAAATAGTTTGAAAACACTTTTATATCTGCAATATGATATTCTCAAGGGAACAATTACTATAGTGTGAGTCGAGCGTCAACTGGAGCAGTAGGTTTGACTATTCTATGTTTTTTATATTCTTCAAATAAATAGAGACTTTTATTTTGAGAATGATTTACAGTTTGTGAACCTTGATGTTCGGTAATTTCGAATTTCACTGTATTTTAAAACTTATGCTCAAACATTGTTGCATAATCAAAATTTTATTTATTCATCTCATTAGATATTGCTCATGTAAAACCAAGCAACTCAACTACAGTAAAACCTCTGTTAGTGAACACCTCTAATATGACCGCATGCTTTGGTGGGGGGGGGGGGGGGGGGGGGGGGGGGGGGGGGGGGGGGGGGGGCNCCTCCTTGGTCCCCCCCCCCCCCCCCCCCCAAGCAAATGTTGCTGTGAGTGAACCGCTATAAAGTGAACACCTCCTTACTCTGCGCATTGAAAACTTTGTTTGGTCCCATTACTAGAGAAAACCTCTGCATAGTGAACATATAAGCTATCAAATGTACATTTTCGCCAGAATTAAAAGAGAGAGAAACAAAAAGCGATCGATGCACATGTTGAACGATTATATGAAAATGAATATTCGTCGATCCAGCACGAACGAATGTGTTGCACAAAAAGAGCAGAGAAATAAAATTGAATAGGCTACGACGAGTTCGTCTATCTCAATAGACAGAACTGTTCGCTTTCTTATACATTATTGTGAGATGACGGCACGAAACACATTGACTTTATCTGAAAAAAAACACAATTAATTCGTGAAAGTGAAAACAACGTTTCATATCGTGCGCTTGCCGAAAGATACAAAATCTCTCTCGGAAGAGTATCAAAAATCAAAAAACGCAGACCGAATATATAGAAGATTTTGAAAACAACGAGAATTCAAGCAAAAAGCGAAATCTAAGAGATGAAATCAGTCAACAAGTCTATGAACGGTTTGTTGAACAACGTAGCAAGAATATCCCTACTTCTGGGCTACTTCTTCAAGAATAATTAACAGTAAATAAATCGTACAGTAGATGAAACAGTGAATTAATCAATGCATACTTCAGTTATTATACATAACATACGTGTTCATAAATCAAGAATCTGAAAAATGTGTTTTCTACATATATAACGCCCGTTAATACAAAACCTCCTTATAATGAACACCTCCCTTAGTGAACACATTTTGAACGGTCCGCATGGTGGTCACTCAAGAGAGGTTTTACTCTACTTATATGATCATCGATTGGATTCTTCGCAGCAAAATTTTCAAAAGGTTTTATTTATTTTTATTACTAAGCAGATTAATCGCTTGGCATGCATGAGTTCTATCCTGAAAGTTTCGATTAGCTACTAACTTCATGCAGGGAACTCCTTTTTCTGATGAATTGATTTCTGTTCAGAATACTGTAAATCATTGAGACTGCAATTCTTCTTTGTATTAAATTTCGTTTTACAAGTATCTCAGTGAAAAATGTTTATGCTATTCTTAAAGTTGGTCATGTACAGTTTTGTATTAACCTCTTACCATCAACATAGAGAATCTCATTAATAAAAAAACAAGTTTTTCAAAAGTTCACATATCGGTAATCGTTCTAATTTAAACACGATCAATCAATCGTGGCATTCTCTTGATTGATAATCTGTTTCATGCATGGAAAATTTTAGTTTGTCTTACAGTGATTGAGTTTATATAATAATTAATTTAGAATTTAAAACGCTGTAACAGTTATTCTCAAATCCATGCTGTTTCTTTCTCTACACAAAAATACTTCTCAAAACATCATGAGAAAACGTTCTTTTATGTTTATGGCTTCGTTAAGAAAATTTTCGAGACGATCTTTTTCATATTTCTTACCTTGCTAAAACAGAATGCTGCACTCTCATATGTTGACTTGCTTATAAAGACAAGTCTGATTCACTTTTTTGTGTATTTATTACTTCAGGTAAAGCCTTTTTTCTGTTTTGTCGTGTTCTGTTCCATGTGAAAACGAAAGAAAATGTTTCCCATTCGACAAAAAAAAATATTCTTATCAATCGAGCAACATCTATTCTCTAATGTCAATAAACCGTTGAAAACACGCTTCTAAAACTTTTCAAAGTATTTCATTCTTTTACATCTAAAATATTTTTCTAAAGTCAATTTCTCTCATAACATACGTAATGATTAATACTAATGAAAGATGAATCCAAGTGATAAATAAAAAAGACAAAAAGATTTGCAATAAGAACATGACAATAGTTTTTCGATTGATTTTCAGTCATAAAGACGAAAATATGTACCAGCGTTTCATTCTACGAGTTCGGTCATCATCAATCCGAACAAAAATAAAACTTTATTTTAGTAAAAGAAAAAAAGAATTTCTCTGTTTAAATAGATATAGATTATGTATTGATGCATTCTACAATGAATAAAACTCTAAGCAAACCACATGAAAATGTAAACAATGATCTATCCTAAAATGAAAATAGTTAAATAGATTTGATGAATTTTTGATAAGCGTCTCAAGTGTAACCATTATTCTATTGGTATTTCATATTCATGTTGTTTCATCATTATTTTTCGTCCTACTTTCACAACAGCTATTTGTTCACGTACCATAGGAAATCTGGCAACATTATTCATTAAATTATAGAGATCTGATAAGTTAGTTGGATTTCGCTGCTGAACAATTTCATTAAGTCGTTCCTCATACCGCTTTCCTAGTTGCCGCAGGTCGTCTGCTAACTGTGTATTAAGTTGACTTGACATTTGTCTATTAGTAATATGACATTCTTCGGCTATCATTTGTGCAAAACCAATAAAAAATGGATCATCGTTTGTACAACAAACAACGTGCAAGAGAAAATAAGCAAATTCAGCACTTGAATAGCACAATTCATATAACATATCACTCATCTGCTTTTCGCTCTCAATAGAACCATCATTTGAAACTTCATATTGAAGTACATAATCCATAGGAGTATGTTGATCGAGAGGGCAACCACAACCGCAGCGATCTTGTTGAACTATATGCGGAGGATGATATGCGACGGGAAAAGTTCCTACGAAATAGAGATCCGGTTTACAGACGAGACAATGCACGCCAGAGCACAGATTAACTTTCGGACGTAGTATAATTGATACCTTGAATGAAGTCATCTTTTGTAAAATAAGATTCCGAAGAATATTTCGAATTGTTTCTAAAATTGGACGCGCCATATCGAGAATTTCAAATTGAGCGTGCTTCATCGATTGTAGGCTATTATCAATACGATAAACAGGGACGTCTTTACGAATGTAGTCAACAAGACGTTTCGATTCCGATACTGACGTTTTCCAACTCATTTCATATTCTTGCTTTTCATTATTATCGAATTGAATCTTGTTTTGTCGAGCAACCAAATAACGAAATGCTTCACTATCGAAACAAAACGTATTCTCTTTTCTGAATGGAACGCTGCCGATCGATAGAGAGGTAAGCATTTTTTTCAGTAACGGTGCTGTATCGCCAGGAGTGTAAAATGTCGACCGAGCACTGGTGAAACAGAAGATAATATTATTGAGAGCATTCGAATCTAATAGAGAGAATAATTGAGTAAGACATGATAGAAAGAAGATATTTAATTTTGTTGAATTTGGTTTCAGAAGAAAACATATAGCATTTATATGAGTAAGATTATTAATATATTCTAAAATATGTTGCATATTCATATCGTCTTGTTCGCTACCGCGCGTATCACCAAAGCCAGGCGTATCGATAATGCGTAACTCTGTCTGATATGTATCACCCATTTGAAACGTATAGGATTTACAACGTTGGGTTACTGATTGTCCAGCATGAGAAAAATCTTCATTACTTGAATCAGTTAATCCACCGAATTCGACAGTATGCTCTTCGAAGTTATCACCTGTTGTTATTAAAAATGAAACAGGCATCAGTACGAATGGTTTATCTGTTTCAGCTTCGTCGAGTGTCTCAAATGTGAGATAATTGGCAAAAGCATTGATGAATGTTGATTTTCCAACACCTGTTTCCCCTAAAAGAAGAATGTTGATAGTTTCATCGATTGTTGTTGCCTTTAATGTTTCCGGCGCATTCAATCTATCAGCATTCATAGAGTTTGAAATCGGATTATCTGGTTCTACAGCTGATTGGGGAGATGAAGACGGAGCCGGTTCGATTGTTTTCTCTTGTGTGTCTTTTGGTGGTAACAAAATAGTAATTGAAGATAATTGAAAAGTACAATCAGAAAAATCAGCATAGATTAGACGAGAATTCGAATTTTTTTCGGCTCGTTCCATTAAATCGGAGATAACGTTTTGTAGCTTTTCTGAATTATTTTTGTTTAAACGATCACTCGAGCAAAGAATGTAAGTATTTTCATCGTTTTCAACAAGCTTATATTTTATAAGTTTTCCATCATCTGTTTCACCGATTTTATACTCAGCAGCATTTAAATATTGAAACTCTCGTTGATTCATATATCGGATAAATGTTTCCTTTGCCTTGATTTGTTCAATATTTTGCTTTAAACCATTCAAATTGGTTATCATCATGATTTGGTCGCTATGATTCAATATTTGATGTGACATTATATTTTCAATTTTTCCACTACGAATGTTTAAAACAAGTTTCGAAATTTGCTGAATTTCATTATCAAATTTGTTTTTCACATCTAGCCATCGATTCTCTATGGCACCAAATTGCTTTTTCAAATGCTTACGTGACAAATCCGTTATGTCTCGTGCGATTAATTTTTCTATTTGTTCCATATCAACTCTGATTTGAACCACATAATCTTCAATAATTGCATGAATCTCTCTGGGTATACGAATGAATTTCTCATTTTCTCGATCATATTGCGGATTGACAATTTTAATGGGTCGAATGGAGTACGAAATTGGGTAATTGCTACTAGTATTTTTATTTTGTTGTATGTAACGATAAATATCATAGATCGTAGTGATATTTCTCATCTGTGGTATATTTGAATAGACTTTCGTTTGAACGATTTTGTCTAATATATTTTTATCATCCTCAGTCAATGTACATGTCTTCTGTTGATCTTTAAAAAGAATAAGAAGTTTGTTAAGTACACGATCGATATCTTCAACAAAATTCCAAACATTTGGCAATTGTAAAATGACAGAAAAATCTGTTCCATATACGACTTGAGTGATCACATGGGTTGCAGTAGAGTCTAATATTAGTGGTTTATTTAAAAGTTTTTCTACTTCAGGACTATCAGCGATTTTTTCTTCTCGATCTAAATAAGAATAAACGATGGAACGAGTATATTCGTTTATCGGATGAGAATGATCGATGTTTACGAATGATTCAATTTTCTTTGTCAGATTCAATAATATGCTTAACCTTAATTCCGGTTCCACACCGATTATTTTAAGAATATTTTGACTACTCTCACTTTTGGTTTTTGTGAGAGTACATCGGATTGATCTAATAATTTGCGTGCTCGTTTCTAGATTGAATATATTTTGTTGTTCCAAAATACGATCTCGATGTCCATCATATAACAAACCGATACGTCCAGAATTATCGACAGCTACGCGATTTATTTCGCCATCAAATGCATCATTTGTTTTTGTTTCTTTATTAATCGAAGGAGAAACAATAGCAAACATATTATATTAAAATTATCTACAAAGAAACAGGTAAAATAGTTATCATAGGATTTTAAAAATAGAATATTGGTTAAACTAGTAAAAGTTCGTTTTTATTTCAGCCGATATAAGCACACTATTCAATGGTATCGGTACGTTTTTCAGATCTTGAGGTATTTTGCCTGCGGATAAGTTTATACATTCGAAAAGCACCGTTGCTGATATTGTAAAAAGTATTCAAAAATAAAGGAACAAACGTAAAATAAGAACAAATAATACAGATAAAAATAAAAATGGCTCAGTACGAGTAAAAATAATATCGAGATGTAGCTTTTCTCAAACAGTCACATATTTTCATCCCGCAAGACTCGTATAAATGAATTCTAATCTGGAATACTATCACTTGTAGTAGTCTCAAGTTTCGATTTGTAAAATATTGATGTTATTCGTTTGATTTAAATTTAGTCGATGGTATCATAATAGCTTTCAATAGGAAAATGGTTAATTAACAGAATAATAACGAGCATTTAAATCTAAATTTTAATTTCTATTACAATAATGTTCAATATGAAATGTCTTTTTTTTATCAAATTTATGATCATACATTCGCTACTTTTACCAGTCAATTATTTCTTACCTTGACAATGTTGATTTTTGTTCTTTCTTTCATGCAATCATTCTCAAAACAAGTCTGGCACTTTTACTTTAACATATGCATTACGCGATGTAAAATTTGTTTTAATTCGTTTCTTTTTAGTGAATAAAAAAGAGGCAAATAGATGCAGCAATGATAGATTTGTTATGAGGCTGTATGCATAGTGGGAGTATAGTGAAGGACAAGAAATTTTATCCTTTATAATCAAACGTAAAATATTCGTATCTTGATGTTACTAAATTTCAAAACTTTTCTCTTTGCAATAAGAAAAATAAAAGTTATAAAGAGTCAACAAATGTTATTGCAATATGAAATTATTATTGGCATGATAACCGAACTAACTATTGATTTAGTGGCGATTCTACATTGAGACTTAGTTTACCAATGCATTGATAATGCTAAAAGAAAGTTTTTCTTTCAGATTAATATTTACTAGACCTCATTTAATACATATAATGTGCAAATTTCGGTTGATGTTGTTTTTTAATTATTTTTTTCGATTCATTCACAAGCTGTGTGCACTATTCGAGAGAGAGAGAGAGAGAAAGAGAATGTTTCTCATAGCGTTAGGAAACCTTCACGCACAAAAATGTGATTTTCCATACCACCGAACGAATTCGAACTTACCGAAGCTAGATGTATTTTATTGAAATTTATTTTTAATTCTAGAACAAAACATAAAGTCAACTTTTATTACCGTATTTTCTTCAAAAACTGTGGACAAGCATCGAGTTTTATTGTGAAAAAAATGTTTCTGCTCTTAGTTCATTTTTGCAAAAATTCGCTGCTGCTTAAATGTCCCCTTCGCGATCTTTCCTTGTGAACAGAATTTTTGAATGTCGATTTGAAAGATAGCATAAAAAGTAAGTCTTGAGGGTGTGGGTGTAGTTTGAGTCGAGCCGCTGCCAACGCCAGAACATTCTCAAGCTTATGTTTGTTAGTGGTTGTTTTATGAAATAAAACTTTGAAGTCGTCTGTATTACGAAGAATAGCGTTTACTTGATTTCCTCAAGCTGAGAAAAGAATTCCTTTCTTTCATGATAAAGCTGTTGACAGTCAGAGAGGTGCAAGTTATGAAAAGTTTACAGGTCAGATAGTAGGGTACGAGTATCGTAACCTGTTAACCGGCAACAAATAGTATGTACTTGACATTGTCGAATTATTTCCAAAGCTATTTAGCAAGAAAAAGTTAATCAAATTAGACTGATCACGAATAGATTCAATAGAAACATATATAATGCTAAGATATTTTTAACGTATCACATTTGTTATCTCTTTATTCATGTATATATCCTGAAAATGCACATATAGTTGTCTAATTTCGAGCTTCATATTATTATTTTCCTCATTATTATCGTTAATCATTCATTCAAATATTATCTACAATATCAATTGGTTTTTGTCGCTTTTGTGGAGCTCACATATATTTTTCAACGAAAATAGTGCGGGCCAATTTTAAGTGAGAGTTCTGCTGGCTCCTTTACCTTCGATCCTCTACTGCATTCCAGGCCTTAGTAACTGATTCTAAATTTCACTGGCTATTCTACCTAATGGGAGTTATGTGAGTTTCATATTTCAAATCTAAAGAGAGCGCAGTAATAAGCGTTTCTTAAATCTTTTTCACCCATATCTCCAAATATATTTTATTTGACTTTATAAAAGGAAAGAAGATGTACGAAGAAACCTCATACAATTCAAAACAAATTGATAGCGGCAATGATGCTTATCATTTTTTTTACAGTCATTTGTTGTGTTTTCGCTCAATCTTCATCACCGAGTCACTGCCATCCTCTGGCTAACTGCAATATAGCGTGCCTGTATCTCTTTCGCTTTGAGACAGATGGGTGCAAAATATGTCAATGTCGTACATCTCCATGTATCAACGAAACAGCGATCTTACCCAACAAGGAATGTGATCGTACACAAAATGGACCCAAATGCCCTTCAACTCATGATTGCGTTGTACCACGTGGTAGACCACCCCACCTGTTTCAACTGGTGTTCTCCCTGCTACTCGGCCTCCACCACCATCAACAACAGCACGCGATGTTTGCTGTATTCATCTTGATTTCGCAGCTTTGAGATTTCAACCACCACGACCACAAAAAAATAACAATAACAACATTAATATAAACACTAGCGCTAATTTTTATGAACACTTTAAATTTGATGCGAATTTTTTGAAATAAATAGAAAATATAATGATCAAGATGTATCGGTCAATATCCAATCATCCCTGCTAGTATGAGCTACGTGCCATCATTGAATAGTCAGCTTCTAAGTCTAAACTACGCATTATTTTCACAAATAAAATCTCATTTTCTAGCAGATTTCAATCGGTTTTGTTGTCGACAGAAACCGATGGAACATGGCTTAGGTATGGATGTAGCCGTTTTCATATCTTGATATGGCTCCAAACATTTTTATTAATGAACTAATTATTTATCAAATATTTCAAAAAAAAATCAAATGTCCAAAAGACACTTCTAATGTTACTCATTTTTACACGTGACAAGGCATTTTTCTACACTAAGCTATAATAACTACATTAAAATTTCAATCGAAATTTTCTTCTGTTAGAAAAAAAAGATTCATTTATTGGCAAAAACAAGTTCAATCGATTGTTGATCAACGAAAAAATGTAGACATTAGTTTCTTTTTGGTACTTCATATTCATTTTCCATCATAATTCTCATCCTTCCTGCTTTAATAGCTGCCAACTGCTCACGTATAATCGGATATTCACTAATGTCATTAATTCGTTTATAAATAAATGATAAATTATTCAATTCTTTGTTTGATTTCATTTCATTCATTCGGTTTACATATCCAACTTGAAGCTCATTCAATGCTGCGACTAACTCCGAATTCATATCATTCATGTTTTGATTGTTAGCCAGATTAGCTTCATGTTTAATCATTTGTAAGAGACCAGACAGAAATAAATCATCTTCTGATGCACGAGCAATATGAATTAAAAAATAAGAAAATTCAGCACTTGCAC